ACGCTTGCAGCACCACCCATGGCAGTTATAATGCAAAGCCTAGACATGGGGTACATACAACCCTATCAAATCCTCGTCTTTTCAATATCTCGTTCACCATGATTCTGCTGTACCTTTTTCTGCTCCTTGCGTTGATTCCTCTCATCAACTTGATTCCGCCACTTATCCCCAAAGGTAGTAGTGGCCCACACACAAAGACCAGAGACAACCAAGAAAATGGCACTGATCGTACTGAACCACCCAACGCCGATAGCTTCCACAGCAGGAAGAACAGTTCCAGACCCCAATGCAGCGAAGACGTACCTGAACATGTAGTTTCCCGCTACGACCTCGGCGCTCCGACCGCTAGACTGCATCACATCCAGACAGTAGGTATTCAGACTAGGGAAGCAAAAGAGCTGTCCTACACCTTGAAGGAACATAGCTAGCACGGGGACAGGAATACCGCCAACAGCCGTTTCGACTGTCCAGCCGTAGACGAGGATGCATCCCGGGATGACAAACGTGATAAATGCCAAACAAGACTTGAGTCGGTCCTCTGGGACACGGACACCGCCACGCTTGCGAATCCATTTCTTCACAATATGATCTGCCCATCGGCCGCCCATGAATGTCCCAACTAGATACCCGCATCCGGGGGCAATGTAGAATAGACCCGATTGAATGGGGCTGGTGAGATGGAAGCGTGGGTTAAGCACGTATCGGATCGGGGTGAGCAGGGAATACTGGTTCCAGACCAGTGCACCGGCAGCGAGACCCGCGAAGAAGAGATTCGGATATGAGAAGAGGAGTATGCCAACACGTAATGGGTTCACTTGATGGCATAGGTACTTCGCCTTTTGGACCGGGGTTTTGGAGGAGAGGTCAGACTTGTTGAGATGGGGGTATGTCTCAGGGAAGAAAAAGAAGACGAGTAGTGTGCCGCAGCCACCTAAAGCAGCCTGAAGCCAGAAGACTACTCGCCAGGAGCGGAATGTGACGATGACGCCCTGTCGTGAAACGTTAGTGATTGGAGAATATCACAGCAGAAAGCGAACCGTACGCCAATGAAGGGACCAAAAGCTGGGCCAATGAGAGTGCCGGACAAGAACCACCCCAAAGCTGTGGCACGAGCCCGGGGCTCATAGATGTCACCGATGGCAGAGCTTCCTACCACCAGGAATGAAGTTCCTTGGAAGGCTGTCAAAACTCGGAAGATATAGTAGGCCGGTAGATTTGGCGCCAAAGCAGTGCCGATACTAAAAGCGAAGAAAAGGAAAGCGCTGACCAGGAAGATCTATGAATTGTACACTAGAATTTAGAATCTCGATAGAGACCACGAATGTACTAAACCATGGGGACAGTTACTTACTGGCCGACGTCCCCACACTTGACTAAAAGGTCCCCAGAACGGGGCAGAGATCCCCATAAAGGCCAAGTACAATGCATTGCTAGCATTGATGACGCTACCCGTAGTATGATAGGTCTTTGCGACTTCTGGAACACCAGAAAGAATCGAGGTTGAACTGATTGGGGCCAGAAACGAGCAATAGGACAGCACAAAGACGATGAATACTTTACGCGCTGGCGAGAAGCGCAAGTATTGCTCGGCGTCCACTTCGCGGAACTCATCGGTGGCCACGGGCATATCATGGTGCGATAAATGGCTCTGTATGAGATGAAGTTCATTTGTTGTCTCTCTACCATTTTGTGATTTAGAGCCCTGGTTGGTTCTTATTGCCTCCATCTGTTGCGAGGTCTCCTCGATGCTCTCGAGAGAAGACTGGGAGTGTGAGGGAGACATGGTTGATACTGCGATGGTTTGTGATAATTCAAGCCTGTGAGCCAATTTGCGGTATGAGATTTGACTTCTATTCTCCAGACGATCGGATTTTCGTGACAGGCACAAGGGTACAATGTTGTTGTTAGGTCACCGGTGTCTGTCCGAAACCATGTGCTCCCCGGACGGACGGTTTCCGGAATTGGAAATAACAGGGAGTGCTTGGATTGAATTGAATTGAGTAGCAAGTATGTATTGGAAAAAGCCCGAAATGATGCTCATTGAAGACCAAGAGAGTGAGTCACAGAAGAGAAGAGAAATTTCAAAGCCCTTCGGCGTTGGCTATCTTTGGCCGAGGATCGGCGTGCTCGGGGGTCGCATCCAGACGGCGCTGAATGTACATCTACAGCAGGGCCGGAGCAAAGAGCGACCCAGAGGCCAGCCAAATTGGCGGCATTGACTGTCCAGGGTCCATTTGGGTACCAGATCGAGGGGCTTTACAACCAATGATTCGGGCAGAAGACCGTAGAGAAGTGGCTGGACTGGTTGGTTGCCACTCCCGACAACCGAGATAGGATGCAGCGCGGAAAAGAATCCGTGTGAGAAGCATTTCGATACAAGCACGCGACAGCCGACCACTAGTTTTAGTCAGTTCCGTGGCTCACGGATCAATGCACAAGCGCGAGCAAGCATAGTTGTGGACTGAGTCAGGAGTCAGACGGGCGAGATGCTGGAAAGAAGACCATCGAGGAGCCACGCTGATGATCGGGATGGATCCATGCGCAACATTCCTCCGTCGATTGAAGCTTAAGTTCCCTCAAAATGCTGGCCAGGTACCATCATGGACGGCTCCACCTTGTTCTGTCAAGCGGCCGTGGATAGTGAATGTGTGGCCTTGGCTGGTGCCAGTCCATCTTATCATGGTCCTGACAGATCGAGACATACACAATCTTTTCTCTCCCAGTTCCGAGCAGGAAGCCAATAACGATCATGGATATCGAGGAGGTCTGTGAGTCTGAAAGTGGCCAAGTCCTAGCGATCTCTTGGGCGCCATGACGTTATCGTCTTGCCCTCTGACCGCCAACCACATCCACGACTTTCTCCCTCCCCCACCGGATCTTTTGAGGACGTCAGGTCAAGCCTTGGTTGTTTTTTTTTTTTTTTTGGTGGGTTGGACTTTCATATTATCCCCCCTTATTTTGCAATTATTACCAAATCTGCCAAATCATGTCGTCCAAGAAAGAGCCCCAGAGTCAGGTCCCGCCCCAAAGCAAGGGCTCATGGACCAGTTTCCTCAAGGTAAGTTGCCTATGTGACACTCGACTTCCGGGTCACCGCCAGGCAAACAAGACTAACGCATAGGATCGTAATAGTCAATCGCCTCCTTCAACGGTGACCTCTCTTCTCTGACGGCCCCGCCCTTCATCCTCTCAACAACCTCTCTCACCGAGTACTCGGCCTACTGGGCTGAACACCCCGCCGTCTTCGTCGCGCCCGCTAAGGAGGCCGATCCCGAGAAGCGTGCCCTCCTCGTGCTCAAGTGGTTCCTCACCACCTTGCACCAGCAGTACTGCAGCCGAAGTGAGAAGCTCGGTAGCGAGAAGAAGCCGCTGAACCCCTTCCTGGGAGAGCTGTTCATCGGCAAGTGGCTTGCTAACGGCGCCGACTCGGACGTGGGCGAGACCACTCTGATCAGTGAGCAAGTGAGGTGCGTGAAATGACCAGACCCCCTGCAAAAGATTGGACACTCTTAATGAACATGACTGCTGTGTAGCCACCATCCTCCGGTCACAGCATACGCAATCCAGAACGAGAAGCATGGAGTTGAGGTAAGTGGGACAATTGTGGTTGCCTGCTACGCGGCCAACAAGAATCTCATCTAATTGACCCATCACTACAGCTGCAAGGATACAACGCCCAAAAGGCCTCCTTCTCAAGCACCATCCAAGTGAAGCAGATCGGCCACGCCCAATACACCCTCACCCCGCCAGGCTCCAGCGAAAAAGAGAAATACCTGATCACCCTCCCCAACCTGCACATCGAGTCCCTCATCTACGGCACGCCCTTCGTCGAGCTGGAAAAGACCACCAAGATCGCCAGCAGCAGCGGCTACGTCGCCAAGATCGATTACTCGGGCAAGGGCTGGCTAAGTGGCAAGAAGAACACCTTCACCGCGAGCTTGTACAAGGCCAGCGAGGGCGAGAAGAAACCCCTCTACACCGTTGACGGCCAGTGGTCAGATACCTTCACTATCAAGGATACCCGCACCAAGGAGGTCGTCGACCGCTGGGTCGTCAAGGACAACGCGACTACCCCTCTGACCCTGGCCCCGCTCGACCAGCAGGATCTGTATGAGAGCCGTCGCGCGTGGGCAGATGTCGCCGACAACATCAATAAGGGTGACATGGACGCCGTCTCGGGGTACAAGTCCCGCATCGAGAACGCCCAGCGCGAACTGCGCCGCGTCGAAAAGTCCGAGGGTCGCGAGTGGGAGCGCCGCTTCTTCAACTGCATTGAAGAGAAGGACGATGACCCCTTGTTCAAGCAGGTGGCCAGCACAATTGATTTTGCCAGCTCCATCGAGGCTGATAAGACTGGCGGTATCTGGCGCTTTGACGCGACACGCGCTGCGGGCGCTCAGCCTCCTTATCACAAGATTGGTGGTGAGGGACTGGGTCTCACCGAATAAGAAAGCGTGTCGTCTTTTCTTGTTATGTCTCGTGGATCTAGGATAAACACCCTCGGCGTCAACGTCAATTGGGACACAAGCCGACTATGATCTTTTCACTTCTTTTGGATCCAGGGTTTCTCTTCTTTTCTCTCTGGAGAAACCACTCATGAGTTGCGAACATCTCTGGGAACCAATTGTCTTCACACATACATTTGACCGCTGTGGGGACTTTTGGTTCCTCTTGCTCCTAGGATTGTCCGGGGAATTTTTGTTATGCTGCATTTCGATTGTAGATAGTTTCCAGCCTGAGGTGAGGCTGTTTGATTAAGTGCTTGCTCGAGCGGCGAGAATGCTGCTTCATCTAATCTGATGATATACTTTTCTTTGGTTTTCAAGGTTTACTCTCCAACCAAGTGGAAACGCCCAGGGCTGCAAATGTAGAAAGAGAGCACGTGCGAATGTTACGACAGACGTGCATGCATAGTACCACGAACACATAGAACTTCGGCAAAGTCATCCACCATCCAAACCTCTCAAGATCTACGCAATCATCCTACAGATGCAAAACACCAAATATGGTCCTGGAATATCTGATTTGTATAGGTGCGTACATAACTCATCACACTTTTAGCCGTTAGCCGACCCCGTAAAACCCACCCAAGCAGTGTCCATCACGATTTTCCTCTTGACCCGATCCAGCGCAATCATATAACCGATATTGCAACACGGTAAAGAGGATAGGAAATGATAATCACAAAATGACACCCCCGGACCCAAATTGACACCTCATCAGCTAGGTTTGGAAGTAACAGGAACAGAAAAAAAGCGGGAAAAAGCGGGAAACATAGAGGGCAAAAATAAAAATAAAGGAGAAAACATCATCCCAAGGGGAGAATTGGTGGATTTAATACAGACTACATCGGGAGGATGTAGTGGGAGCAAAAAGAAAGAGGAGGGAGGAGGAGCAGGTGTAAAAAAAGCAAGACGCGAGAATATGAATGAAAAGACCAGGAGAGCAGGAAAAAAAAAGAACATAACGAAGACTCGATTCCCAAGCCCAGCCCAAAAGCTCCCAGAAGAGAGGAAAGATTACACAAATGTTGAGGAAAGAAAAGATGAAAAGAAATCTCAAGGGGTTGTTCATGATCTGCTTTTCTTGTCTGGCCCGAGTCAAACGAGTATTATAAGGAGTGTGGTTATCCTGCCTCGATGATGTCAAAGACAAGACAGAAGACAAACGCATGCCTCCCCTTGTATCTTCTCATCTCACCTGCAAATGCAACGCCATATGTGTGTTTGTGAGAGGCGGGGAAAGGTAACAGGATGGAAGAATGGGAGGATTCTCATCAGTTCTAGTGGCCGTAGTTACCACCCCAGCCACCGTTGCCGCGGCCGGTGTTGCCGTAGTAGTTACCGAAGCCTGCACCGTAGTTCCCGTAGCCAGTCTGCTGCTGCTGCTGTTGCTGCTGCTGCTGCTGGTGAGTCTGCGAAGCAGCACCCTGGTGACCACCAAGGCCACCGAGACCGCCGTACTGAGGGTTCAGGTGGGGGTAGCCGCTGAAGCCCTGCTGGCCCTGCTGGCCCTGCAGAGGGGGAAGACCAGACTGAGTCTGAGCCTGACCAGGGGTGTTGGTGGCAGAGCCGGGACGGTTGGCCTGAGCAAGAGACGGGGAGGGGCCGCCGGTCTTGGACGCATCGAAGCCCTTGGACTCCTCGGCGGTCACAGGGGGTTGCTGGGCAACGGGAGGGTTCTGGCCAAAGCCAGCCTGGGACCGTCCGAAGACGTCCGACATACCGCTACCGAAGGCATTGGAGCCCGCAGCAGTCTGCTGGGTATCGGAAGGCTGAGTGGAGCCAGTGCGGCCGTACACCGAGTCACGACCGGGGGCGCTTTGGTTGAAGCTGCTAGCAGCAGCGTTGGCGGGGGAAGAAGTGTGATCGTAGGAGAAACCGTGAGGCTGGCCGTACATTCCACCCTTGCCACCGGCACCACCGTAGGGACCATACTGGTTACCATAACCGTACTGGGAGGTGTGGGGCATGCCGTAGTGTTGCTGCTCATCATAACGGCGGGCATCATCGTAAGGACGACCGGATCGGCCATAGGCAGCACCGGCGTGCTGGCCCATCTGGTTCATGTACGAAGCATAGTGGGGGTTGGAGTAGTAAGGATAGCCGTAACCATAGCCGTGGGCACTCTGCTGACCGGGCATGTGCTGAGCCGCAGGGGTCTGAGTGGCACCAGGGAGAGTCGGGTTGGGAGTGTTGTGACCACTGTTGGTGGCATCAACGGGGCCATAGCGACCGGCAGGCTGAGTGGTAGGGATCTGGGGCTGGGCTTCAGCGGCGGAGACACCACCGAAACCAGCACCACGGGGGGCGGCATTGGCATCCTGGGACTGGCCGTAGCTGCCGTAGTAGTTGTAAGGGAATCGCTGCTGGTCAACAGCATAGAAGGGAGAGTATTCGCTGCCAGTGGTGGCAGTAGGCTGAGCCGGAGCTTGGTTGGCGAATGGCTCTTGGATCTGCGGCTGGGGCTGGCCGACTTGCTGGGTGAAGGGGTCGAAGGGCTTCTGGGTCTCGGAGGAGTAGCGAGCGAAGTCGTTGAAGGTCTCGGCAGATGCCTGAGGAACTGGAGGAAGACCTGGGGCAGGGCGAGTCTCGCCGGCACCCTGGATCGCAGGAGGAAGGGAGGCACGAGGGGCAACGGGGGAGTGCTGAGGAGGTTGAGCGCGGGTCTCAGCCTCCTCACGGTTCTCATCAATATCCACAGCGTCACCGTTCAAGCCCATGCTACCGAATTGCACAGCGGCACGGTCCACGGCGTGGTTCCCGGGCATCACAACAGCCTGTTGCTGCTCCATCACACGACGCTGGAAGCCAGGGGCACGGCTGGTCTGCTTCAGGCCGCTACCTGGCAGAGTAGCTGGGGGAGCACGGGAGGGAGTGGCAGTTGCCGCAGCAGCGGGGTCAAAGGCGCTACCGGCAGTGCTGGCAGCAGTCGCAGTAGGTGCAGGAGCGGAAATATCGGGAATCTGTTCGAGGTTGGTCTCGGTCAAGTCATCCTTGGGAGGCTTGACAGTGGCCTGAGGAATAACAGGAACGGTGACTTCGGCGGGTTTGGCAACGGGCGTCTTCTGCGCGGCGGCGGGGGCGGGGACGGGGATAGGAACGGGGGCGGGTTCGGGGGCCTTCTGCTGCTCAACAACGGGCTCTTCAGGCTGCTCGGGGGCAGCAGGGGCGGGAGCGGGTTCGGGAGCCTTCTTAGGCTGCGGTGGAGGAGGGGGTTTGGCGAAGAGACTGGCCCATCCCTTCTTTGTGCCCTCGGGGATCACACTGGTCTTGGGCTCAGTCGACTCTGAAGCTGCCACTGTGGGCTCAGTCTCAACTTCTCCCCAGACTGATGCGGGTGCGGGCTCGGCTGTTGGAGCAGCAGCAGCAGGAGCTGAGACGTCTGCGGAACGGGCGCCGTTCGTGGTTTGGGCACCAGCCCGTCCTCCACGTCCGCCACGACCGCGATCCCCACGAGCACGACCACGGCCCTCAAAGCCACCGCGGCCGCGACCTCCACGAGCAGAAGCTCCAGTCAACTCGGTCGAGGTGCTCTGGACCTCCTTGGGCTTGGGCCGAGATCGGTCTGTGGTCTTCTTCTTGACCTCACCCCACTGCGACACATTGCCTACAGCACAGAATCACCGGTCAGTATGAAAGGGCTTTGCTTTCTTTGGAGATTCAAGGGGTGAGAGACGGATGTCGACGAGCAGGGCGGGGAGATGGGGGAGATATCGACCTTCGGTAATGCGCTCAATGGCTTCCTCGATCTCGCCATTGGAGTCCTCAAGTGCAAACACGAGATCCTCATCCTTCCAGTCGGGGAACAGCTCCTTGAGAGTGGGCAGAGCGTCGGAGTATTTCTTCTTCATCTGTCCAATTTCACCCTCATCGAAGGGGGCAAGGTCTGAGTTGTCGGTGTTTGCGGCTCTGCTGTTTCCACCACGGCCACCTCTGGAGCTATAACCACCACGTCCACCGCGGGTGGATACTCTGCCGCGCGCAGACGACCGGCTCTGAACTTCGGACATTGTGTCAAATGGATGTGTGAGATGAAAGAAGCGAAACGGGGAAGGTGGTCACGATGGAGGGTGTCGCAAGGGTTTCGTGGTAGGGAGGAAGGATCTGAATTGGAAATGAGTCGGGATGCAACCTCGCAGAAGAGGAACGGCACCAGGACCACGAGCGGGCCAAAAGAATCCAGAGACGCCTGGTAAAAGAGGATCGATAATGGGGGAGGTGAAAGGGGAGGGGGAGGAAGGAAAAGCAGTTGAATGGAGATGGTAAAAGCTAAGGTTCTGATGTGTTGCTCGCAGTCACAGCTGGTCTTGGCACTGCCTGGCTTTTTAGCGAGTGGCGCCTATTGGGTCGATTCCCTCTTTTTGCCTTGATTCTCCCCCATCTTCCATTATTATCTACAAAAAGCACGGGGTAGATCTAGATAAACTACCCTCGATCTTCGACTCCAAGATTTCTATTGACCGTATCACCTTCTTTTCCTTCTTTCATGATTGCTCTCTCTATCGTGCTGAATTGTCGGGTCTTGCGTGCTTGCCTGGTCTCCTCGTCATCCACTTCGGGCACCCTCGTCTTTCCTCACCGCCCACCCCTCGCGGCGATCTCCCTTCACGATCCTTCTCTGTGCATTAACTCACGGCCAGATTGGGACTCACCGACACCGCGATCATGAAGGGCACTTCCATTTTTCAATTCAAATCATGGCCGAAGATTCATCAGCCATTGCCTCGGTCACCACGAGAGTCCCAGCAACTTCTCAACGCCCTCACCTCTTCCTTCCGACGCCAGCTGGACCGCGCGTACCCGGCCCCCAGCGGTTCCAACCCCAATAGCGATCGACAACCCTTGAATAATGACTCCTCCGTTCATGCAACCGACCAACACCTGCATAGTATCCTCGATAACCCTTTATTTCGCATTGTACCCCAGAAAGCCAAGTCGGCTCCCCGTGATCATGCCACATCTTCAACCGCCAATGAGTCCATGCCAGCAGTTCAGGATCCCATGGCCTTGTTCGATCAGGCTGTCGCATCGGGATCTGCTACACCTTCATTCATTACAGACTGTCTAAAATCACAACTACTTCTTGCTCGCTCATTTGGTGAGAATGGAGTTCGAGATGCCATGAAGATTACTCGAGCGGGCTCGAAAGTAGTTGACTGGTACTGGGCTTCAGACGGTGCTTCGAGGCAGATGCTTCTACAGACTCGAGCCTCGACAAGCTCCTTGACCAAGTTCATGGTCGCGGAGGATCTGCAAGATACCGCCATGGAGTGGCTGAAGATGCTCAGGAGCGGCAATCTTGGGGGTCTCAATGGCCAGATGGCGGAAGATCGGGCTCGGACGTCCTTTAATCACCTTCTTCTGGACCTTCTCGATGCCGAAATCCGCTACGGATCCGGACTCGGCTCGGCCGTCAAGTACTACTTGCGTGCGTGCCAGCTGCATTTTTCCTCCGTGGAGTCGCCGGGCGATCTCAAGGTCGCCAAGTCAACGTTGCTCGCATCGGGTGCTCAACTAGCTCGCATGATTATGGAGCAGAAGCCATGTAGCGATCAAATTCCCGTACATACCTTTGAAGAGTTTGCCGAGATCATCTCGACACTGTCATCCTCTCGCTCCTTGTTGTTCTCTTCCGTGGCCCTTTGCCATCCGACCCATCCAGACCCAACTCCTTTCATTCAATATGTGGATAGTTTATCCCCCAACAAGTTTCAGAAATGGAATCAAGCCCGGCGAGATGCTTTCCTCGGGATCAGCTGTGACGCTCTCCGCACGCTGATCGACCGCAAGAAAATCGGTCTTGCGACTAGCTTGGGACACCAGATTCAAGAACTTCTTCCCGAAGAGACTGCCACTGCGAGCGTTGAAGCGTCTCGCTCTCGCGCCGCGGTCGAAGAAGATAATCTTTTGCAACGCTTGGAGTTGAGTTGGACTTGATGAATTCAGATTCAATCTCTTTTTTCTTTCAACAGATATCTACTAGCAGATCTTGATTCAGTCCTCACTAGTATACTCTGGCGAGTCGGATTTTTTATTGGATTACTTCATTTTATAGGCAGTGATGGGCTTGCCTCAGACCGTGGGACTACGGAGCTCTGATTGTCGTTGGAAATATGGTCCAGATTTACCCCTCTTCTTGAAACATCAAGAAGCCCCGGAGCGGCGATCGGTACCTAGGAGGCGCTCCTTCTCCCTCTCCCGGAGGACACCGGTGCGATGACGGTTTTCGCATCAGGTACTCCGCAACTACAACTCCACCAGCCTCGGGAGGCGTGATCTGTGTACATAATCGGCGCCAGGTCTTGGCATTGCTTACATAGTGCTTGGAGCTTGAACGCTTTCTAGGCCTAAGGGCTTTCATACGATCTCACCGTGGGGAAAAAGGCTGAGTTAGTGACGGAAAGCACGAATGGGAGGGGTTTCGTGGTCTTGGATTGAGGTGATTTTTTCGTTGTGTGACAGCCAGCCACTGCAGCCGGAGGGAGGGTTGCAGATGGGGGCGAATCAGCCCAGCTTGTGGATCAATGGGGTTGGCGTGACCAGCTGCTTCATAGTAAACGTCACCGCGCAACCTCACCTCAAACCTCCCTCGAGCTTCATCGACTTCATTTCAACTCTCTGTCTTCGCTTGTAAAGTCTTCATTTAGTCTGAATTGCAGTCGCATTCTCCTCGCGATCTTGCTTCCTTCTCGCAGACCCTCCGACTTCACAAAGCACGTGCCGTTGTCTGACATCATCGATCCACCATGGCCACCGAGGGCTTTCCAGAACAGAGCGCTCCCCTTGCACAAGGTATGTTCCAGGGAGCCGTCACGGTACTCTTGCAGGTGAATTGGACTCTTTGAAATTAGTCCAGCTTCGCCCATCCTTTTGGATGAGAGCACACACGAGCCCGCGCTACTTCTTGCCAGCAACTATGAATGCTGACTAAGATACAGCCGCTGTCGCGCCAGCGCCCTCGAAGATCAGCGACCCTCCTCAGCCAACTTATAATGTGTTGAACACTTGCCAGACGGATAGTGAGTCTCTTGCGACCGATTCAACCAAGGTTGGCACCGAGATCGAACATCCAGAAGCTCCCAAGCCGGTGGAGAGCAAGCATGATGCTTCTATCCCGGCCACAAATCACCCGCCAGGCGCCTCCGTCACGAATTCTGAGCCCGAGGTCCCAGTCGTGGCGCAACCGGCCACAGAAGCCACAAAAGAAGCTCCACAGTCTGTCCCCGAGGTTGCTAAACCGGTGGTGGAGCCCTCTCAACCCACAGAGGAAGTCCCAAAGCCGGCCACGCAAGAGCCACAGACCGGTGAGAAGCGTGATCTTGACTCTCTGACAGCTCAAGCTCCTGAACAGGAACAGCTCCCAGAGCCCGCAACTGCCCCTGAGAAGGTCGATGAGCCCGAGAGCAAGAAGCAAAAGATGGACGAGGAGCCCACCAAGGACACCAATGGTACTACTGCTCCCGCGGCTGCGGCTACTGCTACCAGTACAGCTCCAGCTCCGGCGACCGAGTCCCACGAGGAACCAAAGAAGGCTGGCCGCTCCAAGAAGGAAAAGATCAAGGAGGTCGTGAAGAGTATCATTCCGACCGATGGACCTGGCAGCCGGACTCGTAGCCGCACCAAGGATACCTAAGGTCTGACAGGATCGGAGAGACCCGTTTGGGCAGGTCAGGCATTAGCCTTATTTTTATCTTTAATCGAGTTTCGGCTGCATCATCAACGCTTCTGATCTGACTATACACGCTGAAGACGATCCGAATGCCACGACGCGCTGGAACCCATGGACGTGATCTGATGAATATGAGGTTAATCAAAAATATGTCTTACATGAGCAACTTCTTGAGTGAAAGAAGCTATTTTTTCGTGTAAAAATTTCAACTATCCTACAACCCTACAGGTCCATAATGTAGACGTAGTTGCTCGTATTGTATCCCATAGGCATTACTCTCTGTACGATCCCAAAATCACCCGACGGGTCCAAGCGGCGCCGATCATCGGGGGGCTGACTCATTTTGCCCCGGAACGGAACAACCACCCCCGCTATCAGAGTGAATGTCATTGGTGATAGAATAACATCGTTCGCAGGTGCTTGACTACTATCACGCATTTTTTTTTTGTCTTCTTATTCCCCTGACCTCCAATTCTCCCACAATCACAATGGCTGGACAGAAGATTTGGCTGCGTGCTGAGACCAAGCCCGCCGAGGCTCGGTCTGCTTGTGAGTCGCCCTCCCCCACCTTGATTTGAATGCCGATGTTGACTCATAGCTTGCCGCAGTGACCCCGACTACCTGCAAGGCATTGATTGATGCTGGATACGATGTCACCGTTGAGCGCTCTACCCAGCGTATCTTTGACGGTTTGTTCACTCGGAATTAAAATTGTACGGAATTGAGACTAATGAATCCTCGATAGATGATGAGTTCGCCAAGGTTAGCCCGCTGCCCGCCTTCCTACCAATTTCGCAGATTTCCTAACATACGCCAATGGTTTTAGATCGGAGCTCCCCTCGTCGAGGAGGGCTCGTGGGTCAAGGATGCGCCCAAGGACGCCGTTATCCTGGGTCTCAAGGAGCTGCCCGAGGATGACTTCCCCCTGGAGCACGTCCACGTCACTTTCGCCCACTGCTACAAGCAGCAGGGTGGCTGGGAGAATGTCCTGAGCCGCTGGCCTCGTGGTAAGGGTCTCCTGCTGGACCTGGAATTCCTTACCGACGAGTCTGGCCGCCGGGTCGCTGCCTTCGGTTTCTCTGCTGGTTATGCCGGCTCTGCTCTCGCCATCAAGAACTGGGCTTGGCAATTGACCCACCCCGAGGGTGAGCCTCTGCCCAGCGAGGTCCCTTATGCTAACCAGGACCTCCTCATTGCGTCCGTGAAGGAGAGCGTTGAGGCCGGTAAGAAGATTGCTGGTCACTACCCTAAGATTCTTGTCATTGGAGCGGTACGTACTTTCCTTGGCTTAGTCTAGAGCGCATACTCATGATCATATAGCTGGGTCGCTGTGGCAAGGGTGCCGTTCAGTTGGCCAAGGACGTCGGTGTTCCCGAGTCCAACATTATCCAGTGGGATATGGCAGAGACCGCCAAGGGTGAGTTTTTGCCGCCATAAACACCCCAACTAAGGACTTATTTACTGACTCCTAGCCGCAGGTGGCCCCTTCACTGAGATTGTTGAGAGTGACATCTTCGTCAAGTCAGTATCCCCCTGACCATGCGAATTTTACCTTGGTGACTAACATTTTCCTCCAGCTGCATCTACTTGAGCACTCCCATCCCTCCCTTCGTCAACATCGAGAGCCTCTCTTCTCCCAAGCGTGCTCTCTCCGTTGTTTGCGACGTTAGCGCCGATACGTAAGTCATTTCTATACCCGAATGTGACGCTCATGGGTGTCTAACAAGTTTGAAACAGCACCAACCCTCACAACCCTATTCCCATCTACGACATCACCACCACCTTCGACAAGCCCACCGTGCCCGTCAAGCTGCCCGCCGACACTCAGGGCCCTCCTCTGACTGTGATCAGCATTGACCACCTGCCCTCTCTGCTCCCCCGCGAGAGCTCCGAGCAGTTCAGCCAGGCCCTTCTGCCCAGCCTGCTTCAACTGAAGGACCGCAGCACTGCCCGTGTCTGGACCCAGGCTGAGGATCTGTTCAACGAGAAGGTTGCTACTCTGCCTGCGTCGTTGCGCCCGTAAGCGGGGTGTTCGACCGTAATGAGTGGTAAAGATATGAAGAGATATGACTTGATGGCACGTTGATAGATTTTGGATTGGAATTGGACTGAAAAGCAGAAATGCTATAAAAGTTGTTGCATGTCCACATATTATAGTTCGGGAATAACTACCGTGTTTGTTGTTGCCACAGTCTGTGTAAAACCGAACGAAGAAGTTGATTGGGGATCAAGTAGGCTGGCAACCACTTTTGGTTACGATCTCATCAATCTGTCTTTTCCAGTGTAGTTAAAACAGCGCCAGAAGATGTCGTGGGTTGTTTCGGGCCAGCTTGGGAGCGGCCCATCTGCACTCTCGAGTCATAGCGAGGAGCTCTGAGTACAAGCTACTTGGTTTATATGAATTAGTTCATGCTTATTAGACTTCCCACAATGCTGGCAATACACAAATCGTGGGTTTCGCTTGCAAAGAAAGTCTATCATTAGACAAAGTCCAACAGGGACAAAGCACCTGAACAGCGCGGACTAGTGAGCCCCCTCACCTCACGAGTTCTCCCGCACTTTTACCCGGTTTCAACTCTCCTAAACCTCCCTCACTCGACGTAACCGTCTGGGGTGTCAACCTCGAATTCAATGCGGGGTCTACATCTCCCACGGACATCCGGAGGATCCGTCGCGGGGGAGATGACTTAATGCAACGGCGTCTTGGCCCAAGAAAATGCCCCGGCCGCCTATTCTTATTATTGGGCGGGGGGGAACCAAGTCCAAACGGCCCAAAGATCGCAGCCTAGCAAGCGATGACCAGAACTGTTTCTCTGCCAGACCTCAGTGCATCGCTGAGTCTTCTTGTTCTCGAAGCTCGCTGAATTGACCGGTCGGAGTTTGCCCCGTGTGGTGTCTCTGCGAAAGTCCACCAGAACGACGCTGTTGCGTTCTCCCCGTTTTATTTCTCCGCATGAGACCCTTCGGTCCACTCTCTCCCCTCTTCCCCAGCCGAAACCCGCTCCAGCCAGCAGAATTCTTCACGACCGGTGCTGAACCACAATAGTCGAGCGGGAGGCTTCCAGGATATAGTAGTCGTCACCTCTATCCACGCTCATATCGAATATCGGGCGTCTTTCCTTGTCACCGTCACGACCAATCTGAGAATGGCCCGATGAATACGCTTCGCTGATTTGCCTCGAGACCAACCACCTACGCCACCGGACTGCTCCCTCTCCCACCGTTCCTTCCTCCTCGCCCGCAGCAATTCCAATGCAAGAAAAGCCGAGCACGGTCGCGGCCTACGCGGCCGGGGCCTCCCTCGCTGCCGTCGCTTTGTTCTACGTCTTCGGGCCGAATTACACCATCGACGGCGACGAGTCCAGCGATAATAACCGGAAGAAGAGTATCGTGGGATTGTCAAACCTGGCCAATGACTGCTTCATCAATTCGGTTCTACAGGCTCTGGCAGGCTTGGGAGATCTTCGAGTGTACCTGATTCGCGAGCTTCATCGGCGCGAACTGGATGGGCCAGAGATCTACAACACGGTGCCGAGCCCCGATGAGCTGTCGCGCGCCGAACGGCCGGACAAGCTGCGGGAGCTGCAGCAGGGTATTATCACACGGGCATTGAAGGAGATGCTGGACCGGTTGAATGAGCGTCCAATTTACAAGAAGATAATCTCGGCGCGCGGGTTTATTCAGGCCTTGGAATTCGCGTTCCGCACGCGCATCAGTCGTAATCAACAAGACGCACAGGAGTTTCTCCAGATCGTACTGGAGCGGCTGTGTGACGAATACCATGCTGGTGTTCGCGCCAGGCAACGCGCCCTCGGCCCCATTGCCATGCCGGCTGGCTCGGGAGCAGTGGAGGCTGAGGCGGAGGAATATGCGGCCGAGGTGGAAGTGCGAATCGACGACGGATCGCCCAATGGCCTGCCCGCAATCATTGACAATAAATTGAAGGAGATTGACAGTGAAGCTGGGTTTCCGTTCGAGGGCAAGTTGGAATCACAGATTGTGTGCCAGCATTGCCAATACCAGTATAAGCCGAACCAGACGGCTTTTGTCAACTTGACACTTCAGGTGCCACAGAAGAGCTCTACCACGCTCAGTTCGTGTTTCGATGGTCTTTTGAAGACCGAGTACATTGATGACTTTCGATGCGACCGGTGTCGTTTGCAACATGCCATTGAGCTCAAAACGCTAGAGAAATCCAGAGCTTATGCCCAATCTGAAAAGGAACGACTCGACCGGGAAATCACACGGATCCAGGAGGCATTGGAGTCGGATCCTGAGAGTGAGCTCGAAGGCATTGTGATGCCACCGGCAGAAGTCGCACCGAAGCGAAAGATTGCCCGCCACATGCGCATCGTATCTTTCCCAAAGGTCATTGCGATTCACCTTTCACGCTCGATCTACGACCGTAACAGTTCCACCAAGAATGCGGCAAAGGTGTCATTCCCTGAGCGGCTGCCTTTGGGTGGAATCTTAAACCAGACTTGGTACAAATTGCTGGCAATCGTATGCCACAAGGGTAGCCACCATAGTGGTCATTACGAGTCCTTCCGGCGCAATCACCTTTATGCACCATTCTCGACTCCCGAGGCATTCAGTTCTTATGCGCAGAGCCGCGTTGCTAGCGAGACACCCTCGGTGGCGCCCAGTCCTCGACTAGCACCACGGAGTACCCCCGACGTGGACGTAGAAGGCGAAAGTAGCAATCTCTCCTCAACGACCTCGTCCACGTCGCTATCCAACGTATCCCCGGGGGCCTCGCAATTGACCCCTCCCATGCCTCGCCCTACCACCTCCAGCTCGCGCCGGTCCTTGCATAGTACCAACTCCCGATCCTCTACACCCCAACCCACCTCTGGATCGGACAGCAACCACAGCCCAACCCCGGACCAAGGCCGATTCAGTACCTCGTCTGCGCCGCGTCCCTCACGTACTATTCCCCGGTCGTCGGGGGAGACCATGTCCGGGGTGAGTTCGCGGCTTCGACGTCGACGTAAGCCAAACGATCGCTGGTGGCGGATCTCCGACGAAAAGGTCAAAGAGTGCAAGACGTCGGACGTGCTAGGCATGCAAAAGGAGGTGTACCTGCTCTTCTACGAGATGGAGCGGGCAGATGCAAGCCCCGTGGCTGCCGTTGGGCAGCTTTGAGGGGTGGTTTGCTGTGTGGGGTTGTCTTTTTCATATTTCCTCGTCCGTTCTTCTTGTTGTAGATGGCATTCTCATCCATGTACATAAATCTTTGGATCTCTTGTGTATAGGTAGGGGGCTGGAATTAGGTGCAGACCCGGTGATGTGCTGCAAAGAGCCATTGGATATATAGCTGGCGCTCAATAGAGGAAAGAGGTCTACGATCAATGTGCCATGTCCTTGAGTGATGAAGTCGGGTACATCACAGTATCAAGAATCTTCTAGGGGCTGTCGACCTGCTCAGTTTAAATTCGCGGACAAGATCGCATGTTTTCTTCATACATCGCTGGTGCTGCATCTCGATCGAAGTGGGGGTTGCATGGTCAGGTGCCAATCCATGACTAAGAGGATTGGGGATGCGGGAAAGCTCCTTGAAGTCCTTCCCCGAGCTGGTGATATGTAAGTTTTATATCTACTTCTTCGGTAGGGTTCGTAGGATTGAGATTGGAACAGCAAAGAAGAATCGAGGATCGTATTTGACATCTAAAGAATCCAGACTCTTATATATGATCCATCCGACAAACGGAGGATTTCAAACGCGCCCGTGTTAAAGCGAAGCACGGCGAATGGCCTCGAATTCCTCGGCACCCCGCCTGGTGGACGAACAAATTACGGAGAAGACGGGAGGATCATGGATCAATTCTTTTCAGAGCAGAGGTCCATCGGGATCGGTGCTCGTAGTGCTATTGAGCTTGAGCTAGTTTTTCCGGAAGCTATATACTATATAGATTCTATATGTTAATCGTGTGAACTTGTGAGATGCCGTGCAAATGCCGTGCCGGTTCTCGCAGAATACAGCATGGTCGGGTTGGGGAGTGGCATACCCCGCCAACGGAGCCTTTTGAGAAGATTCGAGTCGAGGCCGCAACAGGTTGTACGCAGGGCCGGCAACGAGTATCGGGCTATCACGGAGCGAGTCGGGAGAAGAGGAAAGCTGGAGTGGAAACAGCTAGAGTTAGACACAGTACATATAGCAGGACGCATGCCTGGTCGAACCCCCTCTTTTTTTCCTTCCTTCTCTGGCAAATCACCAAAAAGTGCATTAGATCATCACTCCCGCTGATTTCATCGTGACCTCAGTCCTCCCGTTTCCACCGGACAAAAGAGCTCCACCGACCGGTGAGTAGTCGAACCCAGTCTCTGGTCCCCATCATTGCCAATTGCCCCCCAGCCAGCGAGTCCTAGCAGTTGGTTGTTCCAAGGTATACCCAAGTGCCTCACCGATGACGATTCTGCCCCTCCATACCTCTAATTTGCCCCTCCTGATTTGCCTGCCCCTCGACCATTAAATTATTTAACCCTGCCCGCTTTCGTCCTTCGGTAAAGCGCAGAGCTTATTATATGGAATGATTTGGATCTGACCTCCCTCTCTCTTCTTCTTCTTTCTCCAGGTCCATTACTACTTTTTACTCCCTTCAATTCCACTTCAACTACCATTATCATTCAATATGGGTGTCACTGAGAAGCTCAGCCGCAAGGCCGGTGTCATCGTCGGCGACGACGTCCTCCGTCTCTTCGAGTACGCCCAGGAGAAGCAGTTTGCTATCCCCGCCATTGTAAGTCATTATCCTGGTGGTGACGATGGATCATGATTACCCCTCCTTCCTCACCCTCTCCGACCATCACCATCATCACCTATAGCAGCACCCGGTCAGCAAAAGCTCACTATCTTTCCAGAACGTCACCTCCTCCTCCACCGTCGTCGCTTCCCTCGAGGCTGCTCGCGACCAAAAGTCCCCCATCTGCCTGCAGGTCTCCCAGGGTGGTGCTGCTTACTTCGCCGGTAAGGGCGTGAGCAATGACGGCCAGGCCGCCTCCATTGCCGGTGCCATCGCCGCTGCTCACTACATCCGTGCCATTGCTCCCACTTACGGCATTCCCGTCGTTCTCCACACCGACCACTGCGCCAAGAAGCTTCTCCCCTGGCTCGACGGCATGTTGGATGAGGATGAGCGCTACTTCAAGCTCCACGGCGAGCCCCTCTTCTCCAGCCACATGATCGATCTGTCCGAGGAGCCCGTCGAATGGAACATTTCCACCACCGCTGCCTACCTCAAGCGTGCTGCCCCCATGAAGCAGTGGCTCGAGATGGTAAGTTGATGCTTCCCCCCCCTCTAAACGGATTGCTCTATTGGACGTATACTAACACATCCACTACAGGAGATCGGTATCACCGGTGGTGAGGAGGATGGTGTCAACAACGAGGATGTCGACAACAACTCCCTGTACACCCAGCCCGAGGACATCCTCGCCATCCAGCAGGCCCTCGCTCCCATCTCCCCCTACTTCTCCATTGCCGCTGGCTTCGGTAACGTCCACGGTGTCTACAAGCCCGGCAACGTCCGCCTGCACCCCGAGCTCCTCTCCAAGCACCAGGCCTACGTCAAGGAGCAGCTCAAGTCCGAGAAGGACAAGCCCGTCTTCTTCGTCTTCCACGGTGGTTCCGGCTCCTCCAAGGAGGAGTACAAGGAGGCCATCAGCTACGGTGTCGTCAAGGTCAACGTCGACACTGACATGCAGTACGCCTACCTCTCCGGTGTCCGTGACTACGTCCTGAACAAGAAGGACTACCTCATGAGCACCGTCGGTAACCCCGATGGCGAGGACAAGCCCAACAAGAAGTACTTCGACCCCCGTGTCTGGGTCCGTGAGGGTGAGAAGACCATGAGCAAGCGTACCCAGGTTGCTCTTGAGGACTTCAACACCTCCAACCAGCTTTAAATGGTGGGAAGCTGGTCCTCCTCTTAGCTTGATTTCCATCCTGTTCATACCACCCCCTCCACCCACACTTATACTGACGCCGTCCTTTCAAATTGGAAGGCGGCGATGACTTATTACCCAAATTTTTGAATCATTCCATGCTGCCGAAAAGTTGATCGCGCCTGGGGATGTTGTGGCGTACCGGTTGTATGTAGCGATGTATCTCGACACGTTGTAATGAAATGAAATGTCCATATCACGGTTTGGATCCGTTGGAATACACAATTTCTCTTGGTTTCATTTTTTTTTGAGTTTACAGTAGGTATACATATGTAAGGGGGGGATCATGATTGCATGGCTAGTTCGTATTCTGCTGCCCGAGTCTGGTCTGTGGGAGGGCCATGTGACCTGATCAGGTGTGTGATCAAAATGTGTGGCCTGATCGCCTGATTGCCTAGGTGCCTTAGGTGTTGACTCTCGACTGAGGCGCAAAGATGGAGATTGTTATGTAACTCGGATCGACGCATGTCGTCAGCGGCATTTCGAATTTTGCCCAGTCAACCAGGACAGTGTATTGTCGTTAAATTGCAATCCTCCACTTTTCAAGTCCTCCTCCACTAACGTCTCTAATGACCCACGAGTCTGGCGTGTGCATTCCACGCTGGTCCCTCCGCTTCATTATCGCGGTGTTCCACCTTCTGTCCAACGTGTGCCAGCGTGACCACCACCCATGGGTCTTTGCGGGAACCCGATTCTTGCAGTGTTCCAGATGTTCCAGACTTCTCCCCCGCGGGGCTTTTGATTGGGTCGTCTCGAGTTATCCTGGACCATTCTGCCAATTAAATGGTGGGGAATGGGTCTGAGAGGAGAAGGCCAAACGTGTCGATACCGCCACCCAGGCACACAGACTACAAGTGTTGTACTGGAACACAAATCGTTCACGCACAAAGCGGCCGTTTCAGTGCAAAGGAACCGCTGACACTGTCATCATTATTGTCGGTTTCTCGTTCGAGGCCAGCAGTTGGACCCTTTTTTTCTTCGGTTAATGGCTGCGGGATCGGCAAGGCCGCCCCTATGCATTACAATTGACTGTTAACGATTGACTATCGACTATCGATCAGCCTGTCTCTTCTAATAATAACCGAGCTAAACCAGTCTGGAGTCTGGACCCCCCTCAGAAACCCACTTTTCTTTCATTCTTGGACTTGCTTGTCTCACATCGTCGGTCCGTTGATCGTTCTTCGTTTTTCCGTCATCACTCCGCTTTTTCTTTCTTTCTTCTGTTCTTCTCCGCTCCGGTCCTGTCGGTCGCTGCGCGATTTTCTGCTCGACTACTCCCGTACTCCTCGTCCACATTCATGTCGACTTGTCATTCGTTTTTCTTGTGATCTTTTTCTGGCGGGACGTGATGGATTTGGATCTGCGCCAGAGTCTATGGCCTCGGGCCGAAGAGTCTGGGACTGACAAGTTTCTCTCGTTGATCTCGAATCCTTTTTACTCCCAGGTATGTTTGGATTGTCGCAGAGAGAAGATTGAATGTATACTGACTACGTGAAACAAAAAGTTCCAAGTCAGCGCTATCTGGGCCTCGCTGGGTACCTCTATCGGCGTCTCCGTCCTCCTCGCTTTACTCTTCTCCCTCTTTCGACCCCGTCACAACGTCGTCTATGCGCCCAAAGTGAAACATGCCGATCGTAAACACGCCCCTCCCCCGGTGGGCAAGGGCTTTTTCTCTTGGGTCAAACCTGTGATCAATACCCGCGAACCGCAGCTCGTCGAGACCGTTGGACTGGATGCTGCGATCTTTTTGCGCTTCACCAAGATGTGTCGGAACATCTTCATCTTCATCAGCATCATCGGATTGTTGGTTCTAGTTCCGGTCAACATCTCGCAAAGTAAAGCGACCGAGTCCAGCACCGTGACCGCATTGAGCAAAATGACTCCGCTCTATGTAACCAATCCAACCGCGATCTGGAGTCAAGTCGTGTGCGCCTGGTGCTTTGATATCATTCTCGCATTCTTCTTGTGGAGGAATTACAAGGCTGTGAGAGATCTTCGACGACAGTACTTCCAGAGCTCAGAGTATCAGCGGAGTCTACATGCTCGAACCCTCATGGTCTCCGACATTCCTCCCCAGGACCGCTCCGATGAAGGCATTATGCGTATCACCGATGAGGTGAATCCCACAGCTGCACTTCCCCGGGCTGCGATTGGCCGCAATGTACGTGACCTGCCCGTTATCATTAAAGAGCACGAGGACAATGTCCGGGAGTTGGAATCCGTCCTCGCCAAGTACCTCAAACGACCAGACCAATTACCGGCTAAACGACCCACCATGCGTCCGCCCAAGAGCCAGAGAAAAAAGCATCCCGGTGGCAAGGTGGATGCTATTGATTACCTGACGGTGCGCATCCGCGTTTTGGAGGAAGAAATCAAGCACGGACGGGCCTCGATTGACCGCCGTAATGCGATGCCATATGGGTTTGCTAGTTGGGAGAATATCGAGCATGCGCATGCCGTGGCATGGACTGCCCGAAACAAGCATCCCAAGGGTACCACCATTGCCCTCGCACCTCGACCTAGTGATCTTATCTGGGAGAACCTGCCCTTGTCCAAGGGGGCGCGCAAGTGGAAGCGTTTCCTCAATGTTATTTGGGTTACTGCTCTTACTTTGGTGTGGATCGTTCCTAACGCTCTTATCGCGGTGTTTTTGTCCAACCTGAACAACTTGGGCGCCGTTTGGCCAAAGTTCCAAACTTCGCTCTCGGCGGATCCCAACGTCTGGGCCGCCGTTCAGGGTATTGCTTCTCCTGCAATTACTTCACTCGTATACCTGGTATTGCCAATTATCTTTCGACGCCTTTCGATTCAGAGTGGGAGCAAGACCAAGACGTCTCGCGAACGGCATGTCTTGGGCCAGTTGTATGCGTTCTTCGTGTTCAACAATTTGGTCGTCTTCTCGCTGTTCTCGGCCGCGTGGTCTTTTGTCTCTGCTGTGATCGACAAGACCAACACCGATGAGGGTGCCTGGCAGGCTATTGTTGACAGTAATCTGTACTACAAGTTGATGAGTGCTTTGTGTACTGTATCGCCTTTCTGGGTGACTTATATCTTGCAACGCAACTTGGGAGCTACCATTGACCTGGTGCAAATGATCACCTTGGCCTGGGTCTGGTTCGCCAAGACTTTCCTCGCGCCTACACCTCGCCAGTCGATCGAGTGGACCGCTCCGCCGTCGTTTGACTATGCAAGCTACTACAACTACTTCCTGTTCTACGCAACTGTTGCATTGTGCTTCGCTACCCTTCAGCCCATTGTGCTGCCCGTGACGGCACTCTACTTTGGTGTCGATGCCATGCTGAAGAAGTACCTCCTCATGTACGTGTTCGTGACCAAGAACGAGTCTGCCGGAGCTTTTTGGCGTGCTCTGTTCAACCGACTTGTCTTTGCAAGCATTCTCGCCAACATCATCGTTGCACTCGTCGCCAAGGTTCAGGGTACCTGGACCATGGTTTACTGCATCATCCCATTACCGTTATTGATGCTGGGCTTCAAGTTCTACTGCTTGAAGACCTTCGACGCCGATATCATGTACTATAATCGCGCCAACCTTACCGACGCCGAAGCCGTCGGTGGGTCGAAGATGAGCAAAAAGGCCGCTGATCGCCTGAATGCTAAATTCGGCCACCCAGCCCTCTACAAACCGCTGATGACCCCCATGGTCCACGCCAAGGCTGCAGAAGCTCTTAAGGAGATTTACCAGGGCCGACTAGACCATAGTGACATGATCAACGAATACTCCGACATCGCCATGGACCCTATGCTCCCCTCACAACCAGGCAAGGCCGAGCCCGCTCCGTTCGAAGTCGTCCCCGAAGCCCATCTAGACTTCTCATACTACAAGGATCGCGCCGACTTCCGCGAAGAATTCGGCGGCGGTATTTATGGCAGACCGGAGGATTTGATGACGGAACGCTCGCAGACACCACGCAGCATGCTCGGCGGCGAATGGTCACCTTCTTCATCACGCGCCTCCTCACCCGCACCATCTCTCCCCTCTTTACCAGGATTGAAGTTGCACGAAGGCTACCAGGATCCGGACCAGGGTCATATCCACCCAGCCTTCCGCGTCCCTCTCTCCCGAGGCGACAGCGGAAACGGGGCGTATCCACCTGACGAACTTGAAAATCGTCTTCTGAGTCACGCACAGACACCCGGACAAGTAGATACGAATCCGCTCGACCGCTGGCGAACAGGTGGATACGGTCCTGTCGAGCAGGACGATGATCCATATCAGACTTCGTACGAGGCGTACCGTGGAGCGCGGTAGAGAGTCCCTGGCCGTACCGACATGGCTGGTGCTTTTTTTCTCATCTTCTGTGAAAATCATCTCTGTCTGCATATATTTGTTTCATACTTTTTCAGTCTTGTTTATTTTGGCGATCTTTTTTGGGTAGAGGGTTGGCTGCTGGGGCGTTAGAGGGGCCTGGTTGCTCTTCTGTACATACCTACCTTCATTGAGTACGATATTACGAATATTTTTCTATCTTTGGCCGAACCTCTAGGTTGAGGGTCTGTGGAAATAAAGGCTCTATCCAGTGTACAACATCTTATCTTGTGGCATCAGTGTTAGGAGTCCAGTAACAGCTGAATATGGCCTGATGTATCTAGTAACACCACCGATTTACTAAGACCTGCTTCGAGAATCAAAGCTTGTAGCTGGCTTTGATGGAGGCGAGGTGGACCACATTGTGACTTAGGTCGTTGCGTCCGAGGCAGGTAGGAGAGTCCAAGGCACTTCAACAGACGGCTGACTTGGACTATCTCCCTCTGCATTGGGCTGCCTGCCTGAGCTCACATTTGGCGAGACACTAGGTCTTTCGAACTAAGTTCTATCCTTCACAAAAGGAAAAGGATCTTGACCACACAGTGGACTTTGACAATGTTTTGCGAAATTAAAGATATTCGTGATGAGGATAAGGCTAATAAGATAGAAAGGGTATCGTTGAATGTGAATAATAAAAAGCAACGTCAATGGCCATTACTCATGGTTTCCGGCGGCGGAGTCACCAAAGTTGCCATAGACTGTTCCGCAAGCCTTCTGTTCCGCAGCACCTGGATCTGTCGTCGTCGCTCTTCAAGTTCAGCCTGTCGCTCTGCCTCCCTCGCTGCCAATTTCTCTCGCCGCCGCTGCGTCTCATCACGGGCTTTCTTCAGCTCCTCCATCTGCTTCTTTCTTTCCTCTTCATCCTGTGAAAATGCATAGAACCCCGTTCCACGATTGCGAACCTCGGCATCGGCGTCATAGTGTGCAAATTCCGGCTGCGGAGATAGGTCTCGCTGGGCTGCAAGACGAGCCATTTGGGCCGCAATGTTCGCGTCTGGATTGAAAGCGTCGGACTGGATGGCTTCGCCGTAGATTAGGTTTTCTGGCCGTGAGGGTCGCCAGCGTTCCTCCGTAGCTCGACCTCGATTCTCTTCTTCCTCTTTCGTGCGGGCTGCACGTGCAGCCTCGGCCCTGGTGCCGTGGCGCGTTCGACCAAACTCGTCCTCGTAGGAAACAACCGAAGCATTGTCATCATTTTGATCGTCGTCGTCCTCTTCCCCAGAGCCACTTTTCTTGCGCACCTCGTCGGCCCATTTCGTATCAAAGTCGACCAATCCTGCCTTCTCTCTGCGTCGCAATCGTGATATGTAATCGTCTCCTTCATCCTCATCACTGTCTTCACCCGTGAGGTGCACACCCTTCTTCATATCCTCGTACATGCGCACTTTCTTCGCCATCCGTTGCTTGGATCGATTCAAGGTGGCGTCGTCGATCGACCCAATGTCACGGCTTTGCTTATGTACTTGATCGGAGACATGGTGATCGTCTTCCCGAAGATCTGCAGCAGCACGCTTCTCTGCGCCTTTGTTTTGCTTTGCGAAAAGGTCGCTTTTGGAGGTCTTGGATGGTCGTGGGCGTCCGTGAGAGGTGGTGCCAGAGCTCTGGGCGATGAGAGAGGATAGTTGGCTGGTGAAAGCGAGATTGGATGATGATGTGATCTCTTGGGTCTTGGAGGATTTAGTGCTGGGTTTCCCGTACAGCGATGACTGTTCCGAGGCCATGATGTGGCTGTTGCAGCTCCGCACGCGAATGTTGAAGGGACGACGGAGTCGAGAACAATCTCCGGACTTGATAACGATGTCGATAGCACGATAAGAGTTTCGACCTCGTTTCACAGGCTGAAATGGCTGAGTCACCCGCTGACTTAGCAGCTGCCCCGCGAGCCCCACGAGGTGACGAGCTCGAGGATCTTTGACTCAGTTCCTCTATTCTGTTATTTCTGATTTTTCAATTGTCACTTGTTTCATACGAACCAAATTTGTGCATCGTCACATATCCCTGGCTGTGAATATATCCCTAGAACTGTCCAATTGACCGTTTCCATCAACATGTCTGCCAGCCCTATCTATCTCGGCGTTATTGGTAGGACACCCCTCCGCAATCTCAAGCTTTCATGTTGAGTCTAAGGAATTCACTCTAATCGTAATTTTCCAGGCGTTGGCGGTGTTGGCACTGCATTCCTCTCCCAGCTTGCCCGCCTCCCCAATGCTCCCAAGCTCGTCCTCCTCGCCCGTTCTTCGCAGACCCTCCTCGCTCCGACACCGGCCTACTCACCGGCCATTCCCGCCGCCGACTGGGCAACCGCCGCCGCAGGCCCTTCTCTGACCAAGACCGGCGCTCTTCAGGCCGAGGAGATCGCTACTTACCTTGCATCTGCTCCCGGCCGTGCTATCTTGGTTGACAACACCTCCGATATCAATCTCGCCCGCCAGTACCCCACATTCCTGAAGAAGGGCATCTCAATCGTGACCCCCAACAAGAAGGGTTTCTCCGATGACCTGTCCCTGTGGAAGGATATCTTCGCCTCTGCCGCGGAGGGCAAGGCCCTCGTCTACCACGAGAGCACTGTCGGCGCCGGTCTGCCCGTGCTGTCGACCCTCAAGGACCTAGTCGCTACTGGCGATGAGGTTACCCGCATCGAGGGTGTCTTCTCCGGCACTCTCTCTTTCCTCTTCAACACCTTTGCCCCGGCCTCTGGCTCCTCGGATGCCAAGTGGAGTGCCGTCGTTGCCCAGGCCAAGGAGCTTGGCTACACCGAGCCCGATCCTCGTGATGATCTGAACGGCATGGATGTCGCCCGCAAGCTGACCATCCTGGCCCGTCTGGCTGGTCTGGAGGTTTCCCGCCCCGACTCATTCCCCATTGAGTCTCTTATCCCTGCCGAGCTGGCCTCGCTGCCTTCTTCCTCCGACGGCATTGCCGAGTTCATGAAGCGCCTGCCAGAGTTTGATGGTCAGATGGCTAACATTAAGAACACTGCCGAGAAGGAGGGCAAGGTTGTGCGTTACGTTGGTAGCATCGACGTTGCTGCCAAGAGTGTCAAGGTTGGTCTGCAGACCTTTGAGAAGGACAGCGCCATCGCTGGTCTGAAGGGCAGTGACAACATCATCAGCTTCTACACCAAGCGGTACGGTGCCAACCCATTGATCGTGCAGGGTGCCGGTGCCGGTGGTGATGTTACTGCCATGGGTGTCTCGGCCGATCTGATCAAGGTCGTGCAGCGCCTGCAGTAGTGCTATACAGAACAAAAGTATCTAGATATCCAACGACTCATAAGTACTTCATGAAAAGCAATTGAAATGTCAGCGATGAGGAATACGAGCACTGTCTATGTGAGCATCCTTGAATTGAAGAACAGATCTTTGTTCACGCTTCTCCCTACGTTTTCCCTCTTAGACCGGGCCAAAGGGCTCACAGATTTTGTGATCTTGCCAGTCAGCTTTAGAGTATAGAAGAATCATAAAATATATTCACAATAAGTATGACTGAAGCCTGGTCAAGTGTGGTCAGCCTCGATCGAGGTAGGCATCAAGGGTTTTGCCAACAGGGGTATCGCCCTAACAGACCGCAGGAAATCAACGCCACAAACGCCATGACAAAACTCGCAAACAGACCGTAATTTGTGTAATAAAAAACCCATCAAAATCCATATAATTCCTTCACGTGGAAGTTCATCAAACTCGTCGCGTCAATCGACGTTTCACGTCTGCGTCAGCCCCAAATGACGTACGGCCATCGACAGTAGGCGCAGTATTCTCTCTCCCGGCATCTTCACCTCTTTCTGTAGCATTGCTATTGGACGTATTTCCGGGCTTTCCAGAGTCACTATCCCCGGCATCCGTCTCGACGCCGCGCAACCCAAATGCCCGTCTTTGCCCGCCGGGCCTTTCCTGCAGACTCGGTGCCTGGGGCCGTTGATGGCCGCGAACGCGTCCTCCGATCCAGGGAAATTCCCACAGAATCATGCGGTAGATATAAAGACCGGCGTCGAAGACGATGAGGGCCGCCCATGGGACGATGGTGATGAGGCCGAGGAGGAACTATAGCAAGCGGAGAGTTAGCCAGTGGGTTCAAATGGGATGATACTTCTGTAACCGCAAGAAGGTTGACATACGAAGATGCGCACTGCCCAGCTCTCAAATTGAATGAGCTGCGGCGGGAGAATGGAGTACCACGCCATAGTCTATGACTGGGTATCTCGACGAGGCCCCCTGATGAACAAGTCTGCGGTGGCTGGTGCTTGCAAAGCCGGAGATAGTCCTCAATATCTCTCCCTTTCTTGGACGTGTGTATTATCGGCTGGTGGCCCCCTCACAAGCCTAAACTCTTGGAAATCGACGCAGTCCGCGAGTCCCGTGTGGTGCTGGCCTCCCCCACTCCCCATAATCCGGGGTAATACGATACTCTGCCTGGGGCGGGTGGGACGTCCGAAGGGGGTCCAAGTGCACAGTACAGAGCACACAAGTGCGCTATAAAGTCCGAGTTGAGAGGTATCTATTCCGAAACACGCGCCCCTCACCGCACGGTCCCTGGAGCCTGGGGAAAGGAAAGATGTTGGGACGGCTCGCGATGCGGAGGTAAGAAGGCGGTGTCAAAGCAGCCGAGGCAGCGAGGGACGCAGGGGCCAAGGGAGCCGTAGGGAATCAGACAGTTGGCTTTGGAGACTTGAAAAGAAGGGGATGGATGTGTTTAGAGGGTCCAAGGAGGAGCCTCACTGTCGTAGCTCGGAAGGAGTGGGAAGCTAAGAACGGGTGGAGTAGGGCAGAACGAACACCCAGGCTGAGCGGACTGAGCCCGATTAGGCAATTTATCAGCAGAGGGATTAGACATGCCCATATGCACCGATGAACTAGCTATAAGTGAGGGCTTATAGTGCAATTTACAGCTCCGTAGATAGCATAATGGTCATCAGTGTAGATTTATCTTCCAAGAGAAATGCCAAATGGCAAATATAACCGCAAAGCTGAACCAGCACACCACCCTAGCCACAAGCCAATTACAAACCATCCAGTATGAGACTACCACCTGACCCCGACAAGAAAATTCCAAACAAGATCAAATTCCAATGGCGCCACCATGAGAAGCACCAATATAGCCCCCAAAATCCAACTTTTGATCTTGCTCATGACAATCATATCAGCATAAACTCATCAGTCATATCCAAGGCTCGACGGAACGATGTTGCCCGAAGCCTAAGGTGCAGCAACGCTGTTGCGCTAATATTTGGCCGCCAGGGCTTCCATTTGGTCCAAGAAGTCATCGGAATCTGTAGTTTAATAGGTTAATCCTGTTGTAAAGCGTCTCGATGAACAAAAAAGAAGAAATACCCTCGGGAGTTGCAAACTTCAACTCATACTCATCGCGATCGTTCAGCGGCGGTGTATAGTCATCAGCCGCCATCAGAATGATAGGCTTCAGATCACGAATGATAACGGTTCGATCGTCGATGACACGCAGCCAGCTGCGTCGGCTAAGGTGGGAGGTGATAAACGCAGTCCAGACAGGGGTGCTGTATTCGAAATCAGAAGACCGCTTCTATACGAATTGGTTATGGCCCATCACTTACTGGTTCATATCTCCTTTGTGGACGGAGGCCTGTAGCCTGACAGCTTTGGTTGTCTTGTCACGGTAAACACGGAGAGCATGAGCATAATCATCGTCGATGATTTGACTGTTGCGAATTAGACGGGCCCTCTGGTAGGCTAGAACATGTGCTCAACTCACCCGCCATATATTTCTCGTTCACCTTCCAACTCATAGTCACGAATATCCTCAACAGGATGACCAGCGTCTTGAGAACGGAGTGCCAAAAACGTTACGTAGAATGCAACCATGCCTAATGATAAGTCGGTTAGTTTCCCATGTTCAACACCTCCGAGTTTGTAGCGGTTGGTAGTACGTACTCTCGATGGTTGTAAATTGAATGCTTGCCCACAAGACAAGCTCACTGCCGCCATGGCGTCTGCGGCACAGCTGGAGGCAAGACCCTTCCCGGACTACTTCCAATAGATTCAACGGCAAACAATAGTAGTCGCTCGCACGGGACCTATGCGGGACCTTGCATACAATACGCACGCGATGATCTCGCTCGCGCAGGTAAAAGTATACAGTCATATTCGAGTCGTCATTGAAGGCTCTGTGGAGGTTTGTTAACTTGGTATTTGCCACGGCCTTTTCCCAGGATGACTTACAATTGAAGGAGCAACTCAAAGCCTTGGTCTCGAAGCCACGGCTTGATGCCAGCATGTGGGTCGCCAAAGCAGCCCGCTCTATAATGATCGTTAGTGAACTATACTAGGGCGACCCGATCGCGTAGTTGCTTATTTCTCTCACCTTTCTCGTCCTGGGGGAAGTGGGGTCTCGGTGTCATAGGTCGAGAAGACTTCTTTAACCCAGTGGTATTCAAAAACATCCGAGCGAGTGGATTGACTAGTACCCGTTGCCGAAGCAGACCCCAAAGGTGAGCTCGGCACTTCCGGCACAGAAGGAGGGAAATCGGAGAAGGATGCGGAGGATGGAGACAACGGGGATTGAGGAGATATATGTGGTGGACGACTTCGCTCGTACGATCGTTGTCGGAGAGGTGGTCGGCGTTCCTTCCGGGGACTAGGCTGATCCGTGCTGGTGCTGCTAGTAGAAGGCGGCTTACGACCCAGCGAGGTGCGAGCGAGTCGCGGTGCGAGACGCTTATCTTGCTCTACGAGCAATAATTTCATGCTACTGCGGGAACTTGCAAGAAGCGGAGATTCGTGGCGGGGGCTACGACGGTCAGTATGGCTTCTTACTATATAATATCTCTTTGATGTTTATATCTGCGGGGTATGCTTACTCTCTCACCGAGTCGACGAGGTCCCTGAGAAAGCCCTTATATTTGGCCAAGCGAGTCCCCAGAGAATACTGGGCCTCGTTCCAGAAGAACCGCTCTATCGACAACCATGTCCGCTGGTACGTATCGGACGAGGCATGACCGCCGTCTAATCGGTTGAAAAAGTCCAGTATATCGTCGATGGTGTACTTCAGACTCGAGCGCAGCAATTCCACATCTGGGTGGACAAGCGCCCAGCTACGGCGATAACGAGGATCTTTGGAGAGGTCATCCAGGCTCGATAGTGACGAACTGATAGCGTAAAAGTCGGAGATCAAACCGGTAATCTCCGTGGCATGTTCGGGAAGAGGGGCACGAAAGGTGCTGAAGCCATCGGCGGCGCGTTCAGCCTGGTCGGCAGACGAGCGCAGGGCCATGAGCGCGTCAGCCCATCCGGGGATTTTTTTTTTCAGAATGGAGGTCGCAGTGGGGTGGGTTGGGATACGAGGTTTCCTCCAAGGGACTGAGTAGCGAGCACCACCTCACGTGCAATGCGGCTCTTCACTCTTTTTTTAATTTGGACTCCCTTGCGTTCTTGACGTGGTCGCGCGGGAATGGCGGGGCTCGGTGGGGTAGGAGGGGGATGATTCACCCAGCATTCGTGTGCGGTTCACAGTGGTCGAGGAGTCTTGGTCCTCGACAATCACGGACAGAAAGATAGGGGAGGGGTAGCGATGGATGTACTGATGTATTGTATACTGAAAGGTTGTTTAGTCCAGTTGGCAACCTTCCCCGGTTGGGGTCGATGCGTTTCCATGGTTCTGCTCTCCATCAAAGTCACCCCACACTTGAACCCTGAAAATAGAGGCACTCTCCACCCAGCATAGGTTTTGAAGATCGGATGGAAGATTAAAAGCAGGAGAAACATTCATCTGAGGATGAATATCTGGGCACCATAATAGCTTTTTGCCAAACCAGACGTGTCGATAGGCAGACTTGAAGCGGTGAGGGGGCATGCAAAACCCCACTGCAGTCGGGGATAATTTGGTGAAAGTAACATGACGGGGTGAAAAATGACAGAGTTAGAAGAGTAAAATGAGGTAGAACGAGGTAGCACGAGGCACATTCTTATATATAAAGTAATGAGCCATGGTTTGACTCACAAAAGCAATAACGCCGCTGCCTGCTTAGCCCCATCCTCCAACTTTCGTATTTGGGGCTGGGGCTATGTCTTTCACGATTATAGAAGCATCCATATGAGTGGTCCGGAATTTGAGTCCATGCGCCTTGGCTTGTCTCAGGAAAGAGCCTCTTTCGTCTCTCCACCACAGGGTCCAGCGCTAAATTATTGACAGTAGTTCGGGTGTAGACCTACTAGAACACCTCCGAGAAAAAGATAGAGTTGTGTAATGGCGGTGTCCATTTGCGAGCAAATTAAGCTTTGTTAAAAGATTTGGCTTTCTATAGAGATGAGGCTTGTGTTTTTCTAAATTTAGCTCCTCTGTATATACCCTTCCTACATAAGGGGCATCTGCTACCGCTTAAAGGGTCTTTCTTGCAGCTCTGAACTTCATCTGTGTAGGATCCCAGCAGCGTCCCAAAATAATCCTCACGAGTTTGAAGGCTTGACCGATCGCAGAGAAATTGGGATAGCAGCATCATCATCAGTGGCATTCCACAGTAGAGAATAAACACCCTCGCCCTCGCCCTCGGACGAAGCCTTGACATAGAAGCTGGAGGAGATATCCCCAGATTCTGTCTCGACCATCACCCACTGCCCATAGAAGATAAAGCCAGTAGTGGTCTCGTTGGACTCGGCTTTCGAAGTGAAACCCATTTGGCGTGAAGAAGATGATGAGCTGGGAATGTACAGCAATTCATCGGACCAGCGGTCGGTAGTAGTGGCAGAGGATGTGGTGTTGGGATTGGCAATCCATTCGCTCGAAGATGACGAGGGCCGCTCGACTATATTTTCATTCAGTTAAAACCCGGGTGTTTTCCTTTAGAGACCCTAACTCACAAGAAACCGGAACAGCGGACGATGAAGTCGAATTAGATGGGTCACCGACAAAAGCCTTGCCTATTGAGATTAATCAGAAAACTTACTTCTAGAGCATATTTAGAGAGGGAGGGAGGGCCAAACCATCGGCATAGAAAATTGAAAGTCCACCAATAGAGTCACCATAGGCATACAAGCCAAAGCTCTCGCCAACGCCAGGTGCAGCGCGGGGCACGAAGTCAGAAGCCGATGCCAAGAGGCAAAGCACTGCACCGGGGATAAAATAACGAAGCATACTGACGGTATTCAAAGGAGTGTGCTAAATTGCAAAAGATGTATCAAAGGAATGTCTGGATTTACCTCAATGTCTTGCTGCCAATCTCAGACTCTATATAAGCGCCTTTCTTCGGAAACAAAATCAAACTTACTCATCGGCCGGGGGGGCTTCGAGTGCTTAGTAGGGTATCACATCCCCCTTTGCACTGAAACTACATCAGTTCCGAGCTTGTGAACAAATATTGTTGATCAATTTCTCTATTCTGGACGTGTATGAACTCCACTCTCTAGGGCCGCGTGTCGGCTGACGTCGGTGTAGTTGGGCCTGCGGTTACACTGGGGAGGAACCTAGACTTGGTATGGGGAAATCACTGAAAACTTCTGTAGCGTGTTCTCAATATTTGGTACCTGGTCTGGGCCTAGTCACCGAGAAATACAGATCTCGATCTCGATCTCGATCTATATCGGTGTACAATTCGTGGCTGCATGTCACCAAGATCTAGTTCAACCTAGAAAAAGACACAACACTCTCCGCTGCGCTCCTAGGTCTAGCTCTCAATTTCGAGTTTTCTGCTGGAATATAAAATTATGCAAAGATATTACCAAATGAGCTGTTTTTGGAGCTCGCTGCTGCCACGCAATCAGCCTAATTATCAGCTATTGACCAGACACCAGCCCCACATCGGCGACAGTGGCGCGAACTCCTCCATGTTTAATATCAGATTCCCGGTTTGTCGCTTGAGAGCTATCCATCTTTCTAAAATGAATGGCAAATAGAACCAGCCGCGGAGCTCCCATCTGGATCTCCGGTTGCGTGGCGGATTTAAGATTACGATTCAGTGAGGGTACATGGCACCTCCATGGCCAATAGGAAAGAAGAGCATTGTAATTTAAGCCCATTTAGGATCTAGCTTTCTGCATGAAGATGCACTAAGTGATCGTGAATAAGCGGCGAGAGATTTCGAGCGGACTGTGAGTGTGAGGGTATTGCATGGACAGCGCTTCACTATCTCGACTTTCTGTTGTCGCTGTGTCGAATTCATTCTTTCTTCTCCCCCCGAAGCTCGGTATTGCAGTTATATTTCCTTTTTATACTCTCCTTTCCTCATCTATAATCCATAATTTATTGTCACTCCTTGAGATTCTTTTTTTCTTTTTGCTTCTTGAGTTTCATTCATTCTTTTCTCTCGTCTTTCATTACGGGAATTTACAATGAAGACCGCATCACTCATTCTCGGTCTCCTTGGTGTGACTACTGCAGCTTCTCTGCACCATCAACACCTCCATCCGAAGCTCAAGCGAGAAACCTGCTCTGGAAATACTCCCAGTAACAGACAAAAATGGTGCAATTATAGCGCCAGCACCAACTATTACGACGTGGTCCCCAACACGGGCGTGACTCGAGAATACTACTTCGATATCCAAGAGGTCACAGTTGCTCCCGATGGCTATTCTCGATCCGCCATGGCTATCAACGGCTCCATTCCCGGCCCTACGATCCAGGCCGACTGGGGTGACCACGTTATCGTGCATGTCACCAATAATCTCGCCTCGGCGAAGAACGGATCAAGCATTCATTTCCATGGGATCCGTCAGAACTATACAAACCCAAATGACGGTGTCGTCTCGATTACACAATGCCCGACGGCACCGGGTAAAACTACTACCTATAAATGGCGTGCTACACAGTATGGCTCGTCATGGTATCATTCTCATATCGGGCTGCAGGCCTGGGAGGGTGTCTTTGGTGGCATCGTGATTAACGGGCCGGCCACGGAGAATTATGATGTTGATAAGGGGAGTCTGTTTTTGAATGACTGGAGTCATCAGACTGTCGATGAATTGTATGATTCTGCTCAGTCGAGTGGTCCGCCTACCCTGGACAATGGCCTGATCAATGGCACGAATGTCTATGGTGATGATAACTCGACTAGCCAGACGGGGTACCGGTTCAACACGTCCGTCACTGCGGGTACTTCGTACCGATTCCGTCTGGTTAATGCTGCGATTGATACGCACTTCAAGTTTTCTATTGACAACCATACTCTTACCGTGATGGCGATGGATTTTGTTCCTATTGAGCCATTCAATACCACAGTTTTGAGCATCGGCATGGGTAAGATCAGAGCTCCCCTCGTTATAAATATCTGGCTAACCACCATCTGCTATCCAGGTCAACGATACGACATTGTCGTCCACGCAGACCAGTCCACCGGCAATGACAGCTACTGGATGCGGGCCATTCCCCAGTCAGCATGCTCCGACAACGACAGCGTAGACAACATCAAGGGGATCATGTACTACGGCAACACCCTTTCCACCCCGACAACGACCGAGTACACCTACACCGATAGCTGCGACGACATGGACATGTCCGATCTAGTCCCCTACCTCCCGCAAAGCGCCTCACTCCCCTACTACAACGCAAGCGAACCAGTCACGCTAGGCGAGAACTCCGAGAAACTCTTCCGCTGGAAAATGAACGGGACTTCAATGCAAGTCGAATGGGATAATCCCACTCTCCTCCAAATCTGGAATAACGATACCAGCTTCACCAATTCCAGCGGCGTGGTTGAACTACCCCGGGCCAACGAGTGGGCCTACGTCGTAATCGAGACTAGCCTTTCCGTGCCGCACCCGATCCATCTGCACGGTCATGACTTTTTCGTCCTTGCACAGGGCTCTGGTACATACAGTGGATCATCGGATCTTACAAGCCTGACGAACCCACCACGGCGAGACGTGGCTATGCTGCCTAGTTTGGGGTATTTGGTCGTTGCGTTTAAGACTGATAATCCCGGGGCGTGGTTGATGCATTGTCATATCGGTTGGCATACGGAAAGAGGTTTTGCCATTCAGTTTCTGGAGAGGTATGAGGAAGCGCGCAAGTTGATTGATTATAGCTCACTGCAGTCCGAGTGCAAGGCATGGGATGAGTATGTGGAGGAGAGCAGTGTTGAGCAGGAGGATGATGGAATATGATTTTTTTTGTACCTTAATGTCCGGAATCCGAGACAACCTTCTCCTGAACATATATAGTTTCGCACACGGAGAATGCCTCCCATACCCATCTTGGGAGGCATTCGGTTGAAACCATTCTCCAAAATACAACAGCTACGGAGGATATCTGCAAGGTCTAGTCTAGGATCTTTAATCAGATACTAACACTGAATATTCAATTCCCGTACAAAGGACATCCGAAATGCATACTGCCGAGCGAGATACTATTCATAGTGCAGGCAAACAATTCTGGCCTCAGGCCACAATCGGAGATACCCCGGGGTAAACAAACGGGGGAAGCTCGGGAGCTTGGGCCATCTCCGAAACCGCGGATTGATGTCAATGCGCACCCACAGATCAACCAGAGATAGAACGCGCAGGAAGCAATTTACTGATTAGAAGACCAAGGACCATATGTTAATGAGACAATAGCATTGATTCAGCTACAGAGCAGTTTAGACGGGGCATACAAGAGTATCCCGCAAAGCACAACGTCTAGGCCATTCCCAAATAGTATCCACGGTCTTCAACCAGATGGCCCGGGAATTGCCTCGCCCATCGGGACAGAAGCCGAGAAGGTACAGGAGGAATGGAAGCTAAGTCTGAGCTAAAATCCCACACAGAAAACACTAAGCCCATCGGCCGGGGCGATCATAAAAAGCAAGTAAGAACCACCGTAGAGACCATTCCATAAGACCCGTGAGTGATAAAACGCAGAAAAGATACCCAGAAGAGTCAGCGAAAAGAAACACAAACGCCAGCAGCTGCGCAAATCAGATTTGCGGCGGGGCGTTTAAGAAGACTCCTCCTCCTCCTCGGCCTGCTGCATTGGTTGTTAGGATCAAAGGTATGACGCGAGAGGGGGGTGGATCGCCATTGAGGCGAAGGAAGAAACTTACAGCTTGGTACTTGGCCTTCTCCTCCTCGTAGCGCTTCTTATCAGCGGCGGCCTTGGCATCGTAGGGCTTGCGCTCAGTCTCGGTCAGGGCCTTCCACTTGTCACCGAGCATCTTGCCGACCTGGCCTGTATGGGGTGTTAGTTGCGATGGACTCCTAAGAAAATGGGGAAGCAGCGGGCGAAACGTACCGAATGTGATGCCGGGGTTCTCCTCGCGGACCTTGTCACGGTTGTCGTTGGCGAAGAACATGTAGGCGGACAGACCGCGCTTAGGGGCGTTCGGGTCTAAAGGGCAGGTTAAGATCCATATTTCGAAGGGCCAAGTCAATCTCTCTTCAGGCACAACTTACCCTTCTTACGGCGTTGAACGCGCTCCTTGGCGCCCTTGCGAGTAGTCTTCTCCTTAGGCATGTTGAACTAGATGAACAAGTTAGAGTCGTTCCAAGGGTGACTGGTGTGAGAGGCAATGGCGCCGAAACAAGGCGTAGAGCGCGAGAAAGGGATGCAGGAGAGTGTAATGAGCAGGGTACAGCTATGCGACCGCAGGCGACTGCGATGCGACAAGCAGTGAGGGGAGAAAGGGAAGTGAGGTGGTGTGGTGAGGTGGGTAGCTGGTGCCGCGACGCGACTTGGTAACAAGCGCGCCGGCGGTCCTAACTCGACCATCTCACGCCGAATAAAGACGGGACTTACTTTGTTTGAAAGCGGGAATGAGATGGATTCAAGGGAAATCAATCAGAGCGAATCTAAAAAACATAATCTCATGTTAGTGGTGGTGTTCCAAGTAAACATGGGTGCGCGGTCGCGCGACCGAGAGAGAAGACTCGGTCGCGCGAGTGAAAAAATAGCATTGACGAGGACAGATTGACAAAATCAAGGCCGATGAGAGTAAAAAAAAAAAGAGGGAGGAATAGTGGTGGTGGTTGTGTCGCGGATCGGGGCCAGCAGAAGCGGGATATAGTAGATGGGGGTGAGGATATGCAGTACCTGAGTTGTATGGGCAATAGTGTAAGAGCGGTTGGTAGTAGTAGGAGAGATGGGAGAGAGAGGGAGAGGGGGGAAGGCAGTAGTAGTAGGGGGGAAGGGCGGACTCTCTGAGAGACGGGACTAACTGTGGGAAC